TACCTCAAAAGTCTCAGAGGGGTAGCTGTGTAGGTCTGTAACTTTAAAAACAATGAGTAGTCCTATCGCACCTTAGAGACTAACGAAAATATATGTATAGCATCATGAGCTTTTGTGGGCAAAACCCACCTCTTCAGCTGAGCTCATGATACTGTGCTAGGTTTTGCCCACAAAAGCTCATGATACTATACCATATATTTGTTAGTCTCTAAGGTGCCACAGGACGACTCATTCTTTTCTTACCTTCAGCCATCAATACCTATGTAAACTTTGTTTGAAATGTAATCATGCAAATGTCATGAGATAGGCCTTTTGCTCCAGTATTCATTCACTAAAGCCTGAATCCTTATCTACAAAAGCAGCGTAAAACATCAAAACAAATGAAGTCAGATCCTTTATTAAGATCTGCTAATGCAGACTCAGCATTGCTTACTTTTCTGCTCTGGATCTGCCTACTTCCAAACTACATTTTAGCCCAAGCTTTCTAACATCTCCAGTCAGATTGCCACATATTAACAAACTCATCATAGCCAAAATCAAGCTCTGGTATCAGGAGGGAAAGATATTTTGGTTTAGAACTGGTATCAGGAGGGTCCTACATTATTCTTTCACCTCCTCCCCACCCCCACATCATATATTTCCTGTCATATTTCAGAGCTTGTATTTATATGTCACCAATCAGCTGATAATTAATACCAACTCCTCACTCCAGCCTCAACAAGAAAAGGACAGATGTACTTGGACTAAGCTCCCTCTGCTTGTTAATTATCCCTTGTTTTAATATTTTTCTTCAATATCTATAAACTATTTGAAATATATAATATATATATGTGTTTGTCCTGGTGATACCCGTCCACAGACAACCTCAATAATAGTGTTCCACATAAGAAAATCCAATCCGCCCAAGGATAGAAAATGTTAGCGGGAACACTGCTGATAAATATATCCGAGGGGTAGCCATGTTAGTCTGAATCTGCAAGAACAATGAGAAGTCCTGTGGCACCTTATGGACTAACAGATTTATTGGAGCATATGCTTTTGTGGGCAAAGACCCACGTGCATCTGACGAAGTGCTACAGGACTGCTGATAAATAATCTTTACACTTGCTATTGGGTATAATATATTATTTTCTGATTATTTCAAAACAATATTGCATTTGTGACTACATGGATTTTTTTTTTCCACAATACTTCCCAACAGAATGGGGGAGAGAGAATCATTTCAGACTCCACCACAAAAAGGAGAGTGTGAAGAAGATCAAAAATATGCTGAGAAGGAACATGACAAGCCTCAGGTTGCATGGACTTTCAAGTCAGGTGCAGGAGAAATACTCTCATCCGATATCTTAGGTATGAGTGATAATTTGCCTACAAATAGTACTTACAGACAGGAAGGAAGTTTGAAATCACAGTATTAATTTTGGCTTCCTATAAATTAAAACTTTAATTTTCATGATTAGGGAATGTGCACTCTCACCCTGTAATTAATTCTTTTTTGTTGATGACTTCGATTAGCATGTATTTAGTTATGAGACTAGCTGTTTACAGATTAGACACACTAAAACGTTAGGCATAGATGTGGATTTTCACAGCTCATTTTTGCAGATATTGATGAAGTTTTGTTTCTAGAACCCTGCAAAAATGGCAGGTTATCTGCTTTATATCCACGGGTATCCACAGCTGTGGATGCCAATGGGGATATCCGCGGCTCATTTTTGTGGATGCAAATACAAATTTTATATCTGCACAGGGCTATAGATATTTAACCTGTGTGAATGGCAACAGAAAATAAACTTGTTTCAAGTTTAAAACAAATTCTTTTCTTCCTTGGTTCTTATATCACCCTCATCATGGTGGTGTCCATGTGCATTAAGCATCACAGCGAACATATGTCACACATGGTTCAGCGTTTCTCCCATCCTCTCTACATAGGGAGAATTGTGTGTTCAGTGGACTATATTAGTAAGGTTTTGTTTGTTTCTAAATTAAAGAAGGCAGATTGAAAAAGAGTAGAAAATGGCGGGGTTTGTAATGGTCCTTAGTTCCTGCGAGAATTAGTTTCAGAGAAGCTATGCAAACTTTACCCAAATAGGAAAAGTTCCATTTTGCTAGGGCAGTAGAGTAGTTGACCACAGTCCTCATCCTGAAGTTTTAATAAGCTTTTAGATATCCTGAGCTCAAACCATAGAGCACCTTGAAGATAAAGACCTTGAACTTGATTCAATCCAGAGAAATTTCAGGAGCTACTGAGGTTAATGAATGATTTTTGCCATTGCAAAAAAAACCCCCCAAAAACCCCTATTCACAAGCAGCTCTACCTTTCTTTTGCCAGTAAACTTTCTGTGAGTTTTCAGATATTCAAACAAAGTCTGTATTTGTAACTGACTCATACTTTTTTTGTCATAATTGCATTTCTAAAAATGTTTTGAAGCATTGGCAATTGAAAGACTTATTGTAGTGTAAATGGGATAACATTGTATACAATAGACCTTAAAACTTGATAACGTGCCCACCTAAAAAAACTGAAAAATGAATGACTTGGTATTAATTAATTTAATTTGAAGATAAGGAAAGAGGATGGTGTAGCAGGAGTAATAAAACCCTGAAATGAAATATCCTGGAAAAATGAGAGATGAGCCAGGTCTGGAATAACTAAACAGAAGATATCTAATGATTCTAGTAGTTGTGCCTCATGCAGGTTTTTCTAAAGCTATAACCACTTTATTAATAAAATTTCTGTGTGTTTGCAAACAAAATACTATCTGTTAAGCACTTCATTATTCTTGTGTTTGCAAACCGTGCAGTGCTTAACAACTTGTATATCTTATGTATTTTCAGATGAATGCGGTTTCTCAGAGGAAGACAGCAAAGGCACTTGGAACAGTATTGAAGACTTTGAGGCTGCTCATGTGAATGTGGCTGAGGATCATTTAAAGGCTTCAAACTCAGAGGCAAAGCAGTGTGACAGAACAGCTAATGCTAACTCTTTACTGAAAGAGGACATGAGTTTATTCCACAGTGCAGAAGAAACGGATGCTGGGAAAACTGAATTTAGTCATAGAAATGAAGAGTCTGGCTTAGCACTCAGCTCAGAAAACCATTTAGGTAAAAGCAAGGAAACCAGTAATGATGTCCAGCATATAGGAGCTGTAGAAACATGTCAAGCTGATAGTAATTCCCTGCATGAAAGGGAACCTGCTTTAAAGAATCTATTGCAGCCCAAGACTCCTCATAACAGTCCTTTGAATCATGTTTCTGGGAAAAGACTGAAGAGAAGCATTCAAAAAGTCAATGAGTGGTTTTCTAAAAGCAATGAGATTCTCTCTTCCAGTTCCTCCCAGGATGCTCCAGCTGGGGCAGCTGACGCAGAAGAAGAAGATTCATCTGTATCCGATAGAGAGTCCTGTATTTCAGAAAAGACTGATGCGAGGGTAAACTGCATGGAAGTTGTGGTGGGATGTGAAAATGATAGAAGCTTGTTAAAATCAGCTGTACATAGCATTGAAGATAAAATATTTGGGAAAACCTATAAAAGAGAGAGGAAATCAACCCCTCCTGTCTACGCGAGACAGATGCTACAAAGTCCAAAAGTGGAAGATGTTACTGCTGATGTGAAACCATCAAGTAATTCCAGAACAAATAAATTAAAACGGAAAAGAAAGACTGCGTCTGATCTGCAACCTGAGGACTTTGTCAAGAAAAGAGAAGAAAAGGCTCTAAACGAGCACTCTGAAGATGTTAATCAGTGCTTTGTTGTTAGAAATGCTGGAAGGAAGAAAGATGGTGAAGTTTCCACTGTTAACAGGAGTCCAGTGGGTGGGAAAAATGAGGACAATATTTCAGCAGAACTTCCCGTCAGAGAAGGGGAATCCATATTGAAAAATAACACTGAGAAAGTAACTTGCAACAGCACAGATGGAGAACCAGCACAGAATATCTGTAACCAAAAGAGTACTAAAAAAATGAGAAGTTCGCTGACGAAACAAAGCAGGCATTCTGCTAGGCCCATGTGTGCACTGCAGCTGGTAGCTGAGAGAAACTTAGATTGCCCTGATCAGGCTGAGCTGCAGATTGATAGTTACCCAAGCAGTGAAGAGCCAAGGAAAATTGCTTCAGAACAGAAACAAGTCCGACGCAGCAGGAGGCTTCAGTTACAGACTGAGAGAACTGTAAACGACACCAAGAGAAGAGGTGAGCCAAATGAGAGCGCAAGAAAGCATGTCCGTGAAAACAAAGATTCCTCCCCCGGGTTACAGAGGAATGTGTTGGTCCATGCCACTGAATGCAAAGATCCTATTGAGCAGCAGTTTGTATTGAAACATAGCATACCTCTGTCGGGCACGGGTCTGAAGGCCAGTGACTTGGAAACAGACAAAACACACCCTAATCTTGACGACAGTTCTACTGATATCCAGACTGGAAAAGGCCTCTTATGTGCTGAATTATCAGGGGAGAATTTAAATGCTTGTTCTGTTGTGCTGGCTACAGATTTGCAAGTTAGTGAGACTCCAGGCAGCCATTCACTCCTGCAGCCTCCTTCCACAAATGTGGACCATGCTGCCTGCCCAGCGCAGAATGTGTCTGAGAATAATCAGCCTGCAGCAAGTGAGTCTGAGGAGAGACCATTGTATGCTTGTTCACCAAAAGCCAATCAATGTTGCATGGAAAGTGGCTTGGAAAGGTTCAGGAACCAGAAGTCACATGACACTAAAAGCATTTTGGAATTGAACACAGAAACTGAAGACAGTGAGCTAGATACGCAGTATCTCCGAAACATGTTCAGACAGTCAAAAAGACTGTCATTTACCCTCCATCCAGGGAAGGAATCAGTGACAGAAAGCACTGCTTCTGAAACTCTAAGCAAATCAGGTGCGAACTGTGTAGAATATAGGCATAACACTGGACACTCAAAAAATGAGCCTCCATATTTTACAAAAACAGTGGGCCTGGATGAGATTTGTGAGAGAGAGAAACCTAAAATATGTGAATCTGCTAGAAGTATTTCTGGGCATAGTCCAGGAACTCACTTTTCCAGTGACACCAAATGTGGACATGTTATTAACGATGGCAAGAATATTTCACAAATTCCTGAGCAAGTACAGTTATTCTCACCGCCAAGAGCAGCCACTGCCAAGATTAAGAATAGGAGCAGACTGAAAAAACGGAGACAGCCAAAGGAAAAGCGAGTTTCACCTGAAATGTTGATGGAAAGTCAAATAAGCCATAACCTTAGCAAAAGTGATGAAAACATAGGTGCCCAGAGTAATATAGAAGAGCAAATTATCCAAAGAACTAATTTAAGAACAATTAATGAAGCAGGCTCCGGTTCAGGAAGCAATCAAAGAATAGAAGCTGAAAACAAAGGGCCAGTATTAAATTTACAGCGGGTATCTCCTGTAGTTTGTTGTCAAAGCCCTGCTGAATTGAGCAGCAAAGTAATTGAAAAGAACTCTTGTGAAGAGGAATGCAAACAAGTAAAGAGCGATAAAGACCAAGTATCCCAAAATGCCAGCATTGGTGTGCTGGAGTGCTTAATTTCAGAGGAGGCTCTAGAACAACCCGCTGAAGATACTAGTGGTTTTCCATTGCTGTCTGAGACCCCTGATGGCTTATTGTGCTCTGCAGGTGACATTAAAGAGAACACCAGCATTTGTGAAATTGACAGGAAAGAAATTTCTGCCGTATTTGTTAAAACAGGTGAGAATTCCTTGTTAAGAGATCTGGACAGTGGCAGCAGTAGTTCTAAGTCAAGGTCACAAAACTTTGTTCAGGAACCCAGAAGACTGGCGCGGAAATTGCAGTCTTCTGAGGAGGAGTCTAGTGAAGATGAAGAACTACCATGCTTCCAGGCACTAATATTTCACAAATCAGCAAGCACACCATCACAGCTTACAAAACAGAACAAGTCTAGGGAAGTGTCTTCAGCAACCTCTTCAGAGGAGATTCTAGCGTTGCCGAACAGTAGCAGTGGCAATAATAAAGCTGAACAGAAAACGCCTGGAGTCCTCTTAAGAGATGCGTGTCTTCCTCCAAGCCCAGAATCGGAATGCTCAGTTGACTTATTTTCTTCCCAGTCCAACATGTCAGAAGATTCAGCCAACAGACCACAAGAATTGAATCCGGTAATCCTAGCACCTTGTTTCAAAGAAATGGGAAGCTACAATGGAAACAAAGAAGCTAGTCCAAATGGTAATGAAGAGCTGGCAGAAAGAAAAACTGATTTGGAAGATGAACACCAAGGAAACCAGAATGTGGAACCAAATTTAGGTACAAAATAGTGATGTTAAACAGCTGTTAATGTAACCGTTAAAAATTCTTAGCAGTTATACACAGCAGGTTTTACAGTATGAAGCTTATACTGCAGAGTCTGCAGTGTGTAGCTTCTACTGCAGGGCCTGTGGCACAGCCAGCTCCCCAGAAGCAGGGCTGGCAGCCAGTGTGCACCGGGAGCCAGGTCCCGGCTGCTGGCCTCGTTCCTGGGAAGCTGGCAGCACTGTGGGTTCTTCAGTATAAGCTTTAAAGTTTATACTGCAGAGCCCGCAGCACGGGACAACAGCCAGCTTCCTGGGAGCAGGGCAGGCAGCCAGAGCCAGTGCGCACCAAGAGTTAGCTTAGTAGCACACCAGCTGCTGGCCCCACTTCCTGGAAGCTGGTTGCTGCCCGTGGCAAACTCTGATATAGAGCCAGCAGCACGGCGTGGTAGCCAGCTCCCCAGGAGCAGAGCCAGGAATTGGCATTAGATTTATTATTTGTATTATGGAGCGCTCAGAAGTCCCATTGTGCCAGGTGCTGTACAAGCACAGAACAAAAAATGGTCCCTGCCCCCAAAAGCTTACAATCTCAGTAATGTGTTATCAAATCAGGAGTATAAATACCTGGTTTACTTTTCTGCATTTTTGTTTGTGTCTTTAAAGTTAAATTCTCATAGTAATCTTTAGAGCTGAGAGGAAATGAATAAACTGGAGCCTGGAAAGAATTTGCCCCCAATCCTTGTTGACTAAAGGGCTGAATTTCATATAAGAATGTGACACGTAGATCTGCTAACAAAACTTCACTCTTAGCTCTAAGGTGGCTTTCCCAGAAAAAATATTCACTGAAATGGAAGTTGATGTCGTTTGATCTTCAGCTCTACCTAACTTACTACTATAAGAGAAGTTTTAAATTCGCAGCATCATTGCATATCTTTTTCCCACCTAAAGAGACCTACTTAAGTTATTTTTAGGACACAGACTTAAGAGTTTTTGAAAATGCTACCTTAAATTCCATTGATATTAAATGAGACTCAAATGGGCATAACTAGATTCCCAAGTACTGCAGTACAAACGAATATTATTTTCAGAAGTGCCCAAGTGATTTAAGAGCACCAAGGACTTGTGCTCTTGTTACTTTTGCCTTTGGCGATCACCCCTTAGGAATCCGTGTGCCTAAGTTACTTCTGAACATGGGCTGTTTGCTCCTAAGTCATTTAGATGCTTTTGAAAACATCACCCTTAATCTCTTCAGTGTGAACGTACAGGGATGGGCCACATGGGTGAGTGTGAGATGTTGTTAGTACTTCTGTTTTTCAAGGTGAAGCATCTGGATATGACAGTGAAGCGAGTCACCTAGGAGATTCTTCTGGACTGTCCTCCCAGAGCGAGATCCTTACCACACAGGTATGCAAGCTCATGCACTGAGCATACTGTGCTTTCCAGATACGCCTGAGTAGTATAAAATCTCGGATACTCCTGTGAAGATGATGGCGCCACCATCACTGGAAAGCCATAGATCTACGGGAAGGGGTGCTCTTAGGTTCACATTTTAAACTCTCTAGAATTGCTGAGCTGTTTTAATACTGATAGTTATCAGATTTTTGCATTAGCAACACATTCTACTACTGGCTGTTCACTATAAAGCATTAAGATTTTGATGCTTAATTTTGGGTGCTGCCTGTAACTTCCTTTCTGTACTTGATTAGTGATGGAAACTTGTGCTTCCTACACCAAAGGTTTGCATTGGTAGGAATTGCTATCGGATTTATGGTAAAGACTTAATTGCAACTCTACTGTTGTCTGATTCCCGCTGTCTGTGGGGGAAGAGGAACAGGATTGCTAAGGCAATTAATTAGAAGCTCAAAGTCTTTGCCTTCTCAGTCACTGATTCCAGCGCATGTTGAAAGTGTGACCTGGGTCATACATATTGGCTGATTGACCTCAGTCCAGTTTCTAGGGGACAAGTCTCCCCACAGAATTCCCCTTGGCCTTTTGACACACCCTATTGGATGTCTCAGCAGAGAATCCAAAGAAGAATAAACTCCACCTTCCTATTGTGTGGCTAGCTCTTCCATGCTCAAAAAGTGTGCCCCACCATTTCAAGTCATGGTTTTGTAATGGTGTAGCCGAGGCACCCAACAGACTTTGCCAGGTCCTGGGCAAGGTGGGAGGGCATCTCCAGGCCTCCAGAAGTGGCATGGTCCCAGATGGAAGGTGTATGCTGGTGGTAGCCTCCCCCAGCCAGCCCTTCTGCTCCTCCCAGTGCGCGTCACCCAGGACGCTCTGGCCACTGCTGCTGTGGTAGCAGCATCTGTGAATCCCAGGCCTCTTTAAATCACTGGGCCCCAGGGCAATTGCCCCCTCCTGTCCTTCCCCCCACATCAGTGGCCCTAGGTGTAGCACAACTATGCTATAGGGTTACAGTGGTGTAGCTTCACTGGTAACTTAATCCTGATCTATATTACACTGTTAGATTGACACAAGCAGTTTACATTAACCTAACTCTGTGTATACACTAAAAATTTGCTCCCGCAACATATCTACCACCTACACCGACTTAACTCCACCGCCAGAGAGGCGTAAATTAGATGTAGTTAGACCAACGCCATTTCAGTGTAGGCTTTGCTTACGTCAGCTGTTACTTTCGGAAGTTGTCCACCAGGTGAGGTTTTGCACCGCTAACACAAGGAGCCAAGTGTAGAGACGCGCAACCAGTGTCATTGCTGTAGTGGCTGTTTGCCGAAATAAGCTAGATCAACTTAATTTTGTAATATAGACATGCCCTGAAAAGCCAAGTGTAGACCAGACCTAAGAGCTTTGGGCTGGACTTACCGGTAGAAGACTTGTTCTTGTTTTCATTTCTACGTGGTCAGTGATACAGTAGCTAGAAAGTTCCACATGGTGGCAGTGGTGGAACTGGCAAAGTAATATCCACTGTTATAGAAACTACCTCTGTCAAGCTTGGAAAACGATTTGTTTATAAAAGCATCCTCTGAAGCCATGTATTCTGTGCAATGTGAAAAGGTAAATGGCATGTTTTTAGTAGAGGGCATAGCCGTTTTCAAGGATCAGAGACTGCATTAAGAAGGGCAGAGATGAAATTTTTTCCTATTTGAAAACAGCTGTTGGAATCCTGAATTATAGTGGAGAGTGAACATAAACTTATACAGAGTGAACATACATTTATACAGAGCCTCTTTGTACTACCACTTTCTAAATAATGTGGCCTGTTAACTCTTTGTGTACTAGGCTCAGTATGCCTGGAATTCATGTAATAGGAAATGCTGAATAAATAAATACATTTTGGACCAATTCAAAAGGCATGCAAGGGCCACTTTGATAGACGTGTTGTCTTAGGGTATTCAATGGGTTAAGATGACTGGAAGGAAAAAGTAATTTATCATTGAAATTGTGTAAATCATGCTGTAGGAGCCAACTCCTGTATTCGCTCCTCACCAGTGAGGCTTGGATAGCTTGGAGCAGTGTTTCTCAACCAGTGGTACGAGTACCCTTGGGGTACTCGAGAGGTCTGGGGGGTATCTCAACACAGCTGAAATTTGGAGAACTGAATTTTTAAGTTTTACAGTGCTTTGTTGTTTTTGTACTTTTTGCATCCAAAAATGTAATTGCCCACCCAGCTACGATTAAGTTGTTGAAACACATGTGTTGCAATGATAGTTTTCAGACACCATTTTTTTTCTATCGGTACTGGGGGTACTTATAATTTTTTTTAAAGGGGTACTTTATTTTATAAAAAAAAAAAAAAAAAAAGGTTGAGAGACTCCAAGCCAGTGTCTATTTCAAAATGTTTTACACTTGCAAAGTGAATGTATTTTTTTTTCTTTCTGTCATGATGGGGGGTGGCTTGTTTTTACAATAAAAACTCTCAGTAATTTCCCAAGCATCCCATATGTAAATTAATTAGATTCAATATGTGGAGTCAGAATAGTTCTGCTGTAGTTCCATTCACAAGTATTTGTTGCAAAAATTAATTTTTACTGTTTAACAATTAAGCTGACTAACACAATTTAGTTTTTTTTCTATTGCAGCAACAGGATGCCATGCAAAACAACTTAAAAAAACTTCAACAGGAAATGGCTGTGCTTGAGGCTGTGCTGGAAGAGCATGGTAGCCAGGGTTTTGAATTCCCACCCTCATCCAGTGAACGGCCTCCTTCCAGAGTAGAAGGAACACTCACAGTGGGACAGATGAGGCCAGCTAGAGGTAACAGAACAACAGTGAAAATTATTTAACTTTTATTCCAAACAACTCACTGAGAATCTAATGATGTTTTTTTCCTCCAAGAGCTAAGGGGTTGGGTTAAACTGACTTAATCTGGGTATAGTTTTGCTTCAGTTAGGTTATTCAGTGAAATGCACAGAATATAGTAATGGCATTTTTGTATTTATATGATTTAAATGGTAAAATGTATAAGCTACAAAAGTCATATTTCTTCAGAAAGAAGATAAGTAGGCCTCATACTTAGCAAAACTGATCCATGCTGCTTATTTTGTGGTCATTCGTTCCAGTCTGACTCTTTGGTGCCCTGGATGGATGGGGGCTGTGAGAGCTGCTACATCCCCAAGGGGCTCCACCTTCTGTCACTGAAGTAATAACTGTCCTTTGGCAAAACCTAATAGAGTTGATTTCGGTATCTTTTGGCTGCAGGAGATGATGCAGGACAGGGCCATATTGCTGACCAACAGAAAGGGAGGAAGAGGATGTTTTCTAGTGGAGTGTAAATTCTCTGGACAGGATGTAAGCGGAGTTCCTGGTTGGGGGCTGCCAAGATGAGCACAGACTCTGAGAAGTATTTAAATTAGCATAGGAAACTTACTGTAGGAATAATATGCCGAGGATTGGGTGAGGCTCGTCGCATGTGTGTGCACTAAGGAAAGGGCTTTATTTAGGCCTTCGAATAGGACATTTCAAAGGCTGTGTCCACTGGAAAGTTTCGGCGACCAAAGTGTTGTCAACATGCACAAGCCATCGGACCTGTTTTTCTGCCACCCATTGTTGATATTTCATGACCACACTGTTAGCACCCTGTCGCCAGAAAGAGCAAAGCAATGTGGGGATGCATCCCACAGTGCCTGGCGTCCCTTTCAGTTGCTAAGTACTGTGGGAACACGCAATGTAGTGTTATGCATTTTGGGAATGGGAAAAACATCCCATCAGCCACCTGGGCTTCTGGCTTACAGTCACACCATTTAAATGATAGCCCTTACTGCAAACTCCAGCATCTCTTGTGGGAAATCACGGATCCCTCAGTTCTCTCCCATGTTGTGTTCAACGTGCTTAGGACATTGCACATTGCTGCAGAGCTCCTCCTACAGTTAATAGCAGAGGACGAAGCATGTGAGTGACAGGGACAGCACCAAATTCGCATTGTACTGGGCTGGTGGTGCATCTACACTGCACCATTATTTTGAGGTAACAAGTGTTATTTTGAAATAACAATACAAGCATCTACACAGCCATTCGTTATTTCAAAATAACGGACGGCTTATTCCGAAATCTGTGAACCTCATTCTATGAGGAATAACGCCTATTCTGAAATAGCTATTTCGAAATAAGGCATGTGTAGGCGCTCCGCTGCTGCTATTTCAAAATAGAATGGCCCTGATGTGGGTCTAAGTTATTCCTCCCCAGTGCCTCCTGGGGCTCTAAATCGAGATAACACGTCTACATTAGGGAAGCCTGCCTCGGACTCATTTTGAAGCTTCCCTGCAGCGTAGATATGCTATTTCAAAATAAGCATGCAATGTAGACGTACCCTCACAGATCAGCTGTGCACAGTAGAGAGGCGCTTTAGGAAACCAGCACTGAGTGGTGGGATTGCATTGTCCTGCAGGTGTGGGGTGAAGATCAGTGGGTTCAGAACTTTCAGATGCGTAAATCAGCCTTCCAGGAGCTGTGTGCTGAGCTGGCCCCTGTACCGCAGCGCAAGGACCCCTAAATGAGAGCTGCTTTCTTGGTAGAGAAGCATGTGCTCATTGCTTTGTGGAAGCTGGCAGCTCCCGATTGCTATTGTCCAGTTGCAAATCAGTTTGCAGTGGGGAATTCTACCATCAGGGCAGCAGGGTAATACATCACATTTTGGTGCCTAAGACTGTGACTCTGGGAAATGTGGATGCCAGTGGCTGGCTTTGCTGACAATGCGCTTTCCAAACTGTGGTGGGGCAATCGATGGCGTACACAGTCCCATTGGAGCGCCACCCCACCTTTCCCCAGAGTACATCAGTTGGAAGGGGCACTTCTCCATGGTACTTCAGGTGCTTGTGGATCACCACGGGCATTTCACAGACATAAATGCGGGGTGGTCTGGAAAGGTGCATGATGATGCACACGTCCAGGGCCAGTCCTAACCAATTGGTGGCCCTGGGCGACTGTCCGGTTTGCCCGTAGGGTTACCAGATGGTTTAAAAAAATACTGGACAAAAATGTGACAAGCAAAAAAAAAAAAAAACCTGCGGAAAATTTGTCGAGCCCAAAAAAAAAAAAAAAAAAAAAAGTCAGGGAGTAATTTGGGGGGTGGATTCAGGAGGTCGGGCTGAAATGCGGTCGCGGCCCACCCATAAGACTGGCTCTGTCAGCGGCCCCTTGAAAATGGCAGCCCTGGATGCCCACCCAGCTCGCCCACTCCTATGACCGGCTCTGCATACATCTTCAGGAACAGAGGCCTGTTCAGTGAGGTATGTGCTAGAACTTTCTTTCCAGACCAGAAAATTACAGTGGGAGATGTGGAAATACACAGGGCTCGACAAATCCGCTTATCTACTCACCCGTGGCGAGCAGATTTCAGCCGGTTGCCCCGTTCACCAGCGGTTCGCGCATGTGCAGTGCAGGTCTCGCACAAGCACAGTGTGGGGCTGGCGAGTGATTTTCACCATGGTTTGGCGAGCCCTGGAAATGTCCATAGTAATCCTAAGGGGTGCAGCTTACCTTTTACAGCCCTGGCTCACAAAGCCTTTCTTAGGGCTCTTGGACAGCAGTAAGGAGGGATTCAACACTAGGCTAAGTTAATGCCGTATGGTTGTTGAATGTGCCTTTGGCAGATTGAAAGCAAGATGGAGATGTCTCTCTGGCAGGCTGGACCTTTTCGAGGATCCTATCCCCTAGGTGGTGGCTGCATGCTGGTGCTTACATAATTTGTGTGAGTAAAGGTGAAGCTTTGGCTGTGGGTAGAAGGAGACCTAGCACCTGGACGCACAGTTTGAACAGCCAGATGCTCGTGCTGTCAGAGGAGCCCAGAGAATGGCCATCAGTATCCGGGAGGCTCTGAGAAACCACTTTGACAATGAGGGATGCTGACATTTCTGAGAGTTGGGGTTGCCTCTCTGCCTCATTCGACTGCTCCTCCTGAGCAAGGCATTACTGTGAAACCCAAGAGATATTTCAGGCTTCCAAAAGGGTCAGAGCGATTGGTGCTGGAATTTACATTGTTAGGTTTCTGCTTGTGATTTAGGGGTCCTTCTTTCACAGTGCAAGGGACTCCATCATCTAGGACTCACATTTCTGATACTTGTTCTTCTTATTTTTATAACCAGTTCCACCTTAAATACTACAATGAAAGAGAAAATATTTCTGTTTGCACTGTGTGTTGGGACAGAACTCTGAGCAAAGTCAGTCCATGGACAGTTTCATCTCCTAGTTCCATACTCAAGGGTGAAGTCACCGTTCAAACATATGGTTCTGCATGCCTGTGGGCAGTGTGCTTGCCTCCAACAGGGTGGACATATTACTCTTCCCTGGGTACCGTGATCTGTGGAACTGCAGTCAGATGATGCACGCGTCGTGGAAGGGCTGCTATTGAGGGTACAACAAGGAAATGGGAGCCTCCCAGAGTCATGCTTTGTCTACTGTCTTTTGGCGACAAAACAGAGCATTTACACTACAATGGGACTTTCGGGGAAAGCACCCAGTTTTGGCAACAAAAAACTTCCACCCCTGCAAAGAGACTTTTGTCTTTTCTCCTCCCTTTATTGTCAACAAAGAGCCAGCATGGACCCAGCTGTTTGTTTTGGCAAGAGAACTGGCTTCCAACAGTATCTCACAATGCCTGCCCTAATGGCTCTGCTCAGTGTTTTGTGATCTCTGTTGCCCTGCAGGCATGTGCCCTTCCCCTTTCAAAGCCCTGGGAAGTAGCTGACAGCCGAGTAAGCTGCTCCGTTTGGGGAACAAACAAAAAACAAATCTTTGAAGTGTTCCTGTTCTGCTGCTGGTGAGAGGTGTCTGTGTTGCTTTGACATTCCTCAACTGGAGAGCTCACAGAGCCTATGAAGAATCCCAAGAAGCACAGGGATCAGCTCTGCCTTCCCACAACACTGCCCTGGGGGATGCTTACCCACAATGCTTTGCTCCAATCTGTTGACAGGGGAGCTAGTAATGTGGCCATGAAATGTTGACAGTGGGAGGCAGAAAAACAGGCTTGACCGCTTTTCACTTTTGGAGACTATTGCACGTCAACAGCACTTTTTGTCGATAAACCTACCCAACATAGACTTGACTTAGGCTGCAAGCAACTCTAAGCTGTGGCCAGAGTGAGCCACTGGGTTTAATAAAATTCCTTTTGTTCAACGTAACCTGCATTCAGGTTCACTCGTTGTGAATGAAATATCCTGGAGTTTTCCACAAAGCATACGGGAGACTGCAGGGGCTAAGATAAAGCCAAAGAGAGTTCAAAGACCAAGAGGAAGTTGGGTCAGGCAAACATCCCAGGGCTCAGGCAGGGGAGCAGGTCACACAAATGTCGGAGAGCAGTACAGTCTGCATAAAATTTAAAAAGATACAAATAACAAGGGAAAAGGCTGTATCGCTTAAAGGTTCCCTTTTGGAAACATGAGGTTGACAAATGACAAGAAATGGCTTATCACATGGTGCTGTGGTTCAGGCGATTGGGATGCACACTAAAGGACTGTGCTGAAGCTGCCTCCTCTGGCTGGTGCAAACAAGGTGATGAGTTCACGTTAACCTAGTTCCATTTGAAATGACGATGATCATGATGGAAAATGAAAATTCCAATTGCAAGTGTGCCTGGAACATAATGGCTTTTTAATTACTGTTCATAATCTTTCCCTTTTCCATTTGAACAGTATATTCAGCTGCTGTGAGCAGTCCTCTTATGTTTTGAGTTAAAGTTCTTTATCGAGTAATATTCTGTACTTTAGGAATATAACTGATGTGATTAAACACCTCCTGTGTGTTTTAACTGAACAGAGTGTTGACACTGGTGGGTCTAATTCAATATGAGAAATATATTATTCCTGATGGAGCTAACTTTTGAAGGAGTGTTTGTGTGACATTTCCAAATCCAATAAGCCAAATTCATAAGATAACTATAAATAACTGTGTTTGAGGATTAAGTCAGGAAATCAATTATTAGTTTCCTTCAGGCTAGAAAGTGACTTAAAACAGTTTAATTAATACAAACCTTGTTTACATTGTCATGCTAGAATATGGATTTCAGGCTCTCAGAAAAGCTTAAAACTGATTACAGTTATTGATGTTCGTTAAAAGTTACAAGCATCTCCCAGCTCTTAAGTATTCACCTTTCTAAAACATTTACTGGTGAGCAGATATATGTTAATGTATTTTTGAGGCTTTATAAATAGAAAGTGTATAAAATAGCAGAATTTTGCTTTGGGTTTATTTAATGTTTCTACTTTTCCTTATTATTTGATAATTAGTTCTATCTAATGCATCAGCTGACATCTTGTTTTTGTAAATGCGTGAATATATCTTGCTCACCAGCAACTACACACCGCATCATAATAACTCTAACTCAGGAACCAATCCATGCAACAAACCTCAGTGCCAACTCTGCCCACATATATACACCAGCAACACCATCACAGGACCTAACCAGATCAGCCATACTGTCACTGGTTCATTCTCCTGCACATCTACTAACGTAATATATGCCATCATGTGCCAACAATGCCCCACTGCTATATACATCGGCCAAACTGGACAGTCCCTACGTAAAAGAATCAATGGACACAAATCAGATATTAGGAATGGCAACATACAAAAACCTGTGTCTCCAGGAAGACTGAAGTGTTCCCCTATAATTGCAGATCTAAAGGTAGCCATCCTGCAGCAGCAAAACTTCAGGACCAGACTTCAAAGAGAAACTGCTGAGCTGCAGTTCATCTTCAAGTTTGACACAATCAACTCTGGATTAAACAAAGACTGTGAAGGGCTTGCTAACTACAAAAGCAGCTTCTGCTCTCTTGGAATTCACACCTCCAGATCAGCTGCTAGAAGTGGGCCTCATCCTCCTTGATTGGATCCACCTCGTCATCTCCAGCCTGATCCTGGCCTGCATATTTATACCTGCCTCTGGAAATTTCCACTACCTGCATCTGACGAAGTGGGTCTTTGCCCACGAAAGCTTATGCTCCTACGCTTCAGTTAGTCTATAAAGGTGCCACAGGACTCCTCGCCGCTTTTATATGAAGCTTGCTATGTTAGTATTTTTTCCACATTTTGATTTGGGGACTTTGGGATTTTACAGTTTGTAAGTTGTAACTATTATTCTTTCACAAAGATCAGAAATTAGTATGGCTCCTTTTTCATGTCTATAAATTATAATTATATTATAATTTTGCAGAATGCTGAAAATTGCATAAAAATTAATCTCATTTCGCCGTTATTGACAGCAAAATGTGCCACTGGTACTGTAGTTTGCTCTAACCATACATCATTCTTATGTAACCATATGTCCTTAGTCTATAAAATTATTATTTTTCAATCATTCTGTTAGTGGCAACAGTTGCATATATCTGTTGCTGTACTCAATATTTTCTGTTTTCTAGAATATTTTCCCTTTTAAAACAAATCTTATTTGTCTCAAGGTTACTGGTTTAAGAAATAATTCTTACCCTAAGAACAGAGTTGAAAACACTAGTGTGGTCTTTTCTCTTGAATTTTTTTGTAAATATTGTTTTTCTTTTGAAGGAACAACAGAAGTAAATCTTGAAAACCATAAAATCAGCAGTTCAAAGGGACTTTCAGCTGATGGGTTCCATGTAATGCCGAGTGACCATTCCAACACACAAAACAAAGAACTAGAAGAAGAAGAAAGGTAAGTGCATTTTGTTTGGTATGTATGGTCTTCTACGAATAGTTAGCCCCTTGAAGCAGTATTTTGTTAGTATTGCTTTGGCAATTCCATCTCTAGCTAAAATAATCTGGTTTTTATTTTTTTTTAAAGATGTTATGTAGCTTGTTCTGTCATCTTTGTTTAATGACAGATGTAGTTATATGAACTCTTTTGGTGATGCAGTTTTAACCTTCTTGCATGTATATTAGGAAACCAGAATTTGGAGCAGCTTTTCTTTCCATTATTTGGATAGAGAAGTAGGAGCTGTTTCTGTCTTGGCTGTGTATAGAGCAATGGGACCTGGGCCTCCAGTCTATCATTTCAGGCAACAGAGATAAACTCCTGTCCCCGCTTAAATCAATGGTTGACTTCATAGGTGATAGGATTTAATACAGACGGACTATTCTACAGTAGCATGATTAGTTTACAAATTATCTGTATTATATTGTGCCCTGAAGTTATTTATGGCTAGTGCCTTTGATTAGTAGAAAGCGAAGATGTTGGTTTACATTTTAAAATGAAGACTGAGTGGACTGTGAAGGAAATGCTGAACAAATAATTGAAGGGCGTAAACATCACGGAAGAAGAAGAGTTCAGGTTGATCGGAGGAAACTTAATTACAAGCAACAGAACCAAATTGAGCAAAGGGAAAAGCTTCAGGCTAAATATCATGGAAACTTGGCCCAGCAGTGAGATTTGCTAGACTGGAATAACAAAGCCCCATCCCTAGATTCTTTAAAATTTGACTTTACAAAATACGAGAGCGCAAATTGTAGGGAGAAAGTTTTCATTGGATTTTGGAGATGGTTAATAGCTTTCATCAGCACTAATTACTATGATGTGTGCTCAAAATATTAGAGCTAAAATTATTGGCAGATACTCTATCTTTGTCATAACATGTAAGCATAGGGAAGAAAAATCTTTGCTATGTAACTCAATGCAGGAAGATAGTTTAGTTCAGTGTTTCTTAAACTGTGTTCCACACCGGTGTGCCACAAGGCAGTCGGAGGTGTGCTGCGGAGAACAACAGAATTCAAAATGGGGCAGACGACCTTTTTTTTTTTTTTCCTTCCTCTTCTCAATAACTCCTCCCTACCACCACCACCCACCCTTTTTTTTCCGCCCAACCTTTTTTTTTTTTTTTTCCCTCAACAAAAAATCCTTGGTGTTCCTCATTAAAATAATTATTATTGTTTGGTGTTCCTCGATCTTAAAAAGTTTAAGAAACACTGGTTTAGTTTGATATGTTTATTTATCCAGTTCCCCTTTGTGAATTACTTTTCTGTGGTTGATTGCATACATTTAAGAAACACACACACATTGCATGTGTCAAAAACAGTTAGGAGATTAAATAGGAACTTGAGGTATTGGAGGACATAGAGGAGAAAAGATAAAATTGGTCCTGAGGAATCAGTGAAGATTTCTAGTTTTTAAGGGAGACCCAGGTTCTAGCAAAGTTTCGGGAACCTAGATGAATGGAAGAGAGACCAAAACTAAATTTTTTCACAAGGCTGGATAGTGCGAAACGCGGCTAATATGTTGTTACGCTATTAGCATTTGTTCTTCAGGGTTGGTTAGTTTGAGAAAATGTACATGACAGTTTGACATGTCAACATGCAATTTTTAAAATATTTTAATCAATTTAAATGCAACAGTCCCTTCATACCAGTTCTATTACTAATCATTCTCCGACACTTAATTATACTGTTGCTAACTAATGATTCTAATAGCAAAGATGATACATTGTCCGTATTTTTTTTCTAGTTTGAGGTCATCGGATTTATTGCTTTCCCCTCCTAAATCCCATCGATTAAAAAAGACAGCTCTGGAGCAAGGCCACAGGAAAGCCAAAACTCACTCGCAGGAGGGAACATTTCAGCAGGTTGATGAGGCAGGGCTGCTGGAACAAGAGGCAGTGAAACAATATAATCCTGATAGATCTGAACCAGGTAACACTTAGTACTGATCAAACTCAACACATTCATTTTGGCTTCTACCTGTACCCCAGTCATTGGTCTGCTTTATATATCAATCATTGGAGAAATTGTAAAGAACATGTGTTTAAATCGACTATATAACCAATTTTTAATTGCCAATCTGGGGACTTTTAGCCTACTGAAACTTTGATAATTCCTTGTAAGATCCCATGCTCTGAAAATGTGCAGTTTGGGAGGGGGTAGTACTTTGACACAATAATTAATGTTCATGTTTTCGTCCCAAATGCAGAGTATTCTCAGGAAATGCTAATTGTATCCTGAAAGATTTCACAAGCATTTGAGCACCTTAGCTTTAGATCAAGAACAACTATGATTTCAAGGTCAAGGTGAAGTTGTGAATAACTAAGCAGAGAAAAAACTGTCGCCTATACATTTAAAATATGGAGCAACATCCTCCAACATGGCTGCAAAGAGAAACTGTGATTTAAGACTAGAAATGTTTTACTGCCTGACTCCTCTTTTCCTTCAGAAAATGCAGCTGAGCAGGAATTTGGAACAAAGCTAAACAGTGCAGCTGTTCCGCGTGGGAATGAGAGCAGGACTCCAAACAGCTCTCCCTTGAAATGTTTTGGAAGGCTTACCCACTGTCAAACTGCAGAATCCACACATCATTCGGCTACACTTTGGAATATTAATAACGGGAAGAGCGCTCAGGGATGTAAGCGGGAGAGAAGCGCATTTTCCTCACCACCTGCTTTGCGCCCTGCAGCTGGAAAAGAAAATGCCAAAAGCCCAGTTGTGACCTGCAGGAGACAAATGTCAATTGTGGCCTCAGGTCTGAACCAGAGTGAGCTTGTAAGTGTATTTCACCATCTTTGTCAGTTCCCAACGAATATGCATGTAGCCAACCCTTGTAATCCTAAATACAATTTAAACCTCTCCCTAAGAGGTTCACATGCAACAAAACTTTGATGTCACTTACCCATTAATAATACCAGGGTATTTAAAATTAGATACTGCTTTGTTTGCTAGTACTGATAAATATGCGGGTTTGTATGCAAGGAAGCAGTCCATTAAGGTTCAGAGTTTCTAAATGGATTGGAAAGCCATTCACATCAGGAGGAGGAAGAAGGCTTATTGTTCCAAAGCAAGGAAGACTCTCACCTCAAAGAGCATAATTTTTTTATATACATTTTCTTAGATGCCTTGCAAATTTTAGAGGCTGATAGCAGTGGCTAAAGCCAGGTTTGATACAGACGAGTGCAGCACCAATGTTCCACAACGCACACTGCCAATGAAACTCCAACTTCACTTGCCAGTCCTAAGGCTACTTCTCCTACTGCTGAGAGCTCTTTAAAATACTTTTATCTGATTTGCAGAATCCCTTCCTATTCTTACATATCCCTTTGACCCCCATTCAGGAAAGCACATATTGTATGTGTTGAACTCCTGTTGATTTCAGTGAGACTTAAGTGCATACTTAAAAGTTAAGCATGTATTTCAGTGCTGTCCTGAAGTGGATTGATTTCCTTAATTAGTGTCTTAACCTCTCGTGCAAGGATCCTGTTAAACTGCAATGGTGCAAACTCATGCGAGAAATTACAATATGATTTTCAAATTCTAAGTTCTAGTGTAACATCACATTCAGAAGAATTTGCATGGTCTTCAAATGGATTCATATTGTGGTGTATTCTTAAATCAACTTACACAGTAGTGCTTCTCCAACTGTGGTGTAAGCAATTGGATTGACTTTCTGAACCAGTCGTCACTAGTGTTAAATCCAATCACAGCTGTCTGTGCAACTTCTGCCCAAAATTGGTGGTGATGTGACATGGCATGCTGTGCCTACAGTAGCTCCCTCCAGAGTCTAAATGTCTTGCAGGGTCTATTCACTAGACTCAATAAACTGCAGCCTCCCCATGATTTGCACTTGATACTCAATGGTCTGATGGTGAAAGCTTTCCTTGTAGTCACACAGTGCTAGTGTATCTGAGGCCACTTAATTAAAATTGTTTATTATATTTAGTCAGTGATCATTCCAGCTGCTACCCAGACATCAGATCTATTGTATTGGTAATTGCAGAGAATTCAGTTTGATCTAATAAAGCCAAGTTTATTAACTGCACTGGCAATAGTTAGTTTCTAAGCTGCTTATTAAATCACTAATGGCTAGAGTAGATCCTAGCTGTAACTAGCGAGGGAGAAACATTTTGTGCTATTTGGATTTGTTGAAATGTGCTAAATTTATTATAAAAGCTGCTGACTACTGTATTATGCGTGAATAGTTCTGAAACTTTCATTAAGTTGCCGGTGACTGCTTTAATCGAACTCTGCTCCATTGTGAGGATGTCAGCAATTAATTCTAAAGTGCTAATGATCCTGGTAGAGGGCAGTGGTATGGGGACGTCCTTGCAGCCTGGTTTTCTCTGTCACGTAGATGACTGGGTGAAGCCACAGGAGAGAAATTACTTCAATTACAAAATTTGTACAATATAAAAATGCAAATTTTGGTGGCATTTGTTGATAAATAGTGGCTTTTGATAAAGAAGGTTATTTACCAGCCAATAGATTCCAGTTATGATGTGGCAGGAGTAACCAATCTGAGCAATTTCTTTTACTGCATTAGTACCGATTTTATTTTGTTTAATAGATAACTGGAAAACCCTAGACTTCTACAACAACCAATATGCTAGTAAAAATCCTTCTTTGTAAGTAGGTTGGAACAGATGTTTATATCACTCAGCTTTCACACTATCTTGGCTTTTAATGTTTTGTTGCCATCAGAAGTTGCATATTGGCTTAATGCCTCAGACAACTACAGCACATGTTTCCATTTCACTTGGCTCATAAATTACTGATTGATCTGAATTTTAGTATATAGAGTGTTGCTTTACTTGAGTCTACGTGAGCCAGTCAAATAATTTCTGTTACTAAAGGCAAAATGAACGTTATTTTTGAAGTAATGGTTGTATCTATGTGCCTATTGGTGTAGAGGATCGCCATTTGTTTCAGTGTTTCTCCACTGTATGTTGTACTTACAACTTCTATTGACATATATTTAATTTCTCAGCTATATTAGAAAGCTAATCTTATAATGTGGAAACTTCTGTTCAGAGCCAGAGATGTCTAATGTTTGGATTGAATCAATTTTTTTTCTAATTCATTATTTATTTGCTTTCAGTTACTGGTGCAGAAGTTTGCCAGAAGAACCCAGAGCACTTTATCTAATCAAATTACTGAAGGAACAACCCATGTCATAATGAAAACAGGTGTGTTGGAAGCTCAGCGAACAAAACAGATATTTAATGCCATATAAAACACTAAAAACAGGCTAATCAAGGAGTACATGGAGCATGATGAGTCATTCAGCTTGATGGTCTGAAGACAGTCTGAAGACGTTTGATTAGGATGTGAGGTTTATAATTTACTGCTCTTTTATTCCATATCAGAATTTGTGTGATCCTTCCTGAGTCTAAGCTAAAATTTGACCCATCTGTCTTTTATCCCATTTCATGTAGTCCAGATGAGAAGTTTCTGTTTTGGGTTGCTTGTTTATACGATAGCATTGACATGGTTATAACTAGAATTTGAAATTGCCATATCCTTAAGATGAGTGATTTGATGTCATGTCTGTAGGTTTAAGAAGGCAGCAGCAGCAGCACACTGACTTTAGATAATTTACAGCCAACCAAAGAGAGAGCCAGACATTTCCTTCTTATAAATACTTAAATCCTGGAGAAAACCACATCACTTCTGCTTTTAAAAAAAAAAAAGCCACTTAAATTCTTTCTCAAAAATAATAATTCGATGTAATTGAAAACAGACCAAAATAGATTTGTATTTGGCTTTCTAATTGTAGCTGAGAAAACGAATGGAGCTGTACTTCTGTTGGAACAAAGTTACAGCGTGACAAATTCAGACATACTTTTCAGTGTCCATTAGCTTCAGAAAGTCAAAGACATCTAACTTTTAGGTACTGGATAATATTTTTTTAAAATTATTCCAATACCAGTGGCCTGTGCCTTTCCAACATCTGAGGCTCAGTTCAACAGGAAATCTGGACTGGAGGGTGGGAATGTACAGAGGCTCTCCGCTGAGGCCACATCTATACTTATCCACAGATCGACGCTCCAGAGGTTGATCTTCTGGCATTCGATTTAGTGGGTGTAGTAAGGACCCGCTAAATTCCCATCAACGCGGCACTCCTGCTTCTTGCAAGAAGCAAGAGAAATTGACGGGATTTCTACCATCAACTTCCCACTGTGGGAACAGTGCCCGATTTCAAATCAAGATATGTCAACTCCAGGCACACAATTAATGTAGCTGGAGTTGCATATCTTAATTCAACTGTATCCCCTACTATAGAACTGACCTGAAAACCATACTAGGCTTCTCCCTTTCAGGAGACCCAGGAAGGGGCAGCATTAGGACATTGATACTTTGAACCTTCTTGTGAGTGCCCTTGTCAACACTATCGTTGGGCAGTATCAGTATGTGGTGGTGGTGTGGTTTTTCTGGTGGCCTATCACTTGAAATACAAATCAACTTTCAAAGTTGCTTAATGTTAGTGAGATGGCAAAACTGAGAGTGATCCTAGTATATTTCTACTTAATCTGCAGATACTGAGCTAGTGTGTGAGCGGACGCTGAAGTACTTTCTGGGCATTGCAGGAAGAAAATGGATAGTTAGCTATGAATGTAAGTATAATACCCTTTGGAGCAACTCCATGTCCTCTCCTCTCTGCTCCCAGTTTCCCAATACCACATCCTTTATATTTAATATATTTTAGCTTTTGATATTTTTTTAGAGTTCCACCTGAATATTTAGACATTTAATGAGAACGCTTAGCTTCTTTTTTTAATATCTTTGCTTCATTCAAGTACGAGAAATGATTTTTCCCAAAGAAATACTTTGTCTTCATAACTTAAATAAAATGTATTGCGGCTCCTAAAAATGTATCACTTAATGCAAAGTTCCTTTTATTTAAAAAGGAAGATTAGACTAAAAATCTATAGTATGCTAGGAGCACTTTTAGGCATTATATAATTATTTTTTAATTGTTCAAATACCGAATAATTTGTTTTCCTTATCAGTACAAATTGTGTTGAATTTGAGGTGGCAGCCAAATTCGTCTGTAAAGGCTAATCAGAGCATCTTGTCTGATTTAATGTAATCTGTTCTTCTCTGCTCTTTTTGTTTAGGGATTGTTCAGTCTTTTAAGGAAGGAAGGATACTTGATGAGGTGGGTTTTGATGTCTTAAGAGTGAAATGCCAAATAATGTCTGGTGCATGAGCATCCAGATACTATGGGAATGAACATATTAGTCATGTTTGTGACAGAAGAATTTAAATATTTGAAACTGAAAAATTAGTTGGCGGTGTTTGGGACAGGGGAGAACTTGGCATAGGACAAGAGTTAGGATTCTAGGCCGTACCAAGAAACTTCACTAAAAACCGCAGTTGTGCAGAATGCAGGTATTCCATGCTGCAGAACAAAGAGCCACCTCTGTGATATTTCCTTGACGTTTGGTCTAGAAACTGTTCCAAAGGTAAAATATGACTGATGTTGGAGGTACACACCTGCTGTGTATATGAAGGAATAATGTTGGAACACATCCATGTCCAATCTTTTGCACTTCATTAGCTGATCTATAACCAACTCCTAAATTCCCATTGGAGTATTTTCTAAATTTCTAGTGCAGAGAGCTGTCTGAGACTAGAAAGTAGATTAGGTGGCATTTGCCTCTCTTTATCAATAGTGCTCAGATTCTCTGCCTCAGGCACAGATTTTTGCCGAACCTTGCTTAAGGAACATAATAGCTGTACTGAATCAGACTGATGGTGCATCTAGCCCGGTATCCTGTCTTTTGACCATGACCAGTCCCAGATGCTGCAGAGGAAATGAATTGAACAAATGATCCCTCCTATCTTCAGAACATCACTAAACCTTCCACTGCCAGGACAGGGAGCTGATCACTGACCTCCTTGGCTAATAGCCATTTATGGACCTGTCCTCCAAGAATATACCTAATTCTGTTTTTAAACTCCGTGATACTTTAGGGCCTTCACAAAATCCAGTGGCCATGAGTTCCACAGGTTGACCTCATGTTGTGAAGAGAGAGGCACAAAATGTGATCCAGTGCAAAAGTTCATAATTTTGATAAGTAGATAGAAATGGATCTCTTGATGCAACTCTGCCCCGAGCTTCTCTGCTCAAAAAACCCGAGGCTAGCATTTCAAGCCAAGGGAGAATCAAAAATTGTACTAATCCCAAAAACATTCTGAGAGTTCATCATTGTCCAGCCAGGTCCTACCTTGCCCTTTGTGGAGGCTCCCGATGTTCTGGTCTCTCTAGCTAATAAAATAGGGCATCTACTGGATATCCTTCAGACTCAATTAAATCTTCTCTTTCAAGCATGTGAGAGGGGTTTTCAGGACAGATTCATTTGCCCTCATTACGGAAACCACTACAAAAGTATCAAGTTGGGTGAAAACATGAGGGTTTTTTTTTGTTGTTGTTGTTAATTCCCCACCAGTTCTGTATAGAAATCTATGAAGGAGCTTTCTTAAAGTAGTGAATAATAGACAGTTGATTGAGAGACAGATGCAGCCCTAAGATTATCAAACAAAGGATTGTATTTACTGTTAATCTAACTGGTAAGTGAAGGCTTTGAAATAAAAAAGATATTTAAAATTAATTTATGTTTTAGAGGTTATGTATTGATACCTCATTTCTACTGAATGAGATTTGCCTCTAGCAACTGATTTTAGCCTGTCAGGCTGCTACTCTTACATTCACTGTGTTGAATGGAATTTGATTAGTTTCTTTTAAGAAACATTTGCTTGATCAAGCTGCAGGGTTCTAGATTCAAAACCTTAGAAGGGGGCCACTGTGGTCATCTAGTCTGACCCCTGTGTAATACAGGCCGTAGAACTTTTCCCCCAATAGTTTCTAGATGAGGGATCTTCAGATGTTTAACACGCAGGGACTGTTCTAGCCTTGCGGGGCCCTCCGCAGGCCGAGGGTGCTCCAGTCTAGCAAGATCAGCTCCTATCAGCGGCAGGCCCAGCCTGGTGACCAGGGGAACTCCAGCTCAGCTGGAACAGCCCCCAGCCATGGCAGGGGGTCCACCCATCCACGGCAGGTGCAGGGGACTGCTCCAGACCAGCTGTGCTGGAGTGCCCCACCCCCGCCTGTTCAATCAAGTCAACTAATTAAATGGGATTTTACATCCCTATCCTACGCCACATCTTTTGGAAAAATAACTTAATTTTCAAATTGCCAGCGATGGAGAATCTACCATGGTCCTTGGTGAATTTTTCCAGTGCTTAATTACTCTCCCCTGTTATAAATGTACATCTGACTTCAGCTTCCAGTCCCTCGATAGTGTTGTATCTTTCTCTGCTAGATTGAAGAGTGCATAATTAAATATTTGTTCCCCACATATTTACTTATACTTGTTATCTTCTTGTCCGTTAACCTTTCCTTTGTTACGTAAAATAACCCCTTTACAAAAGATTCCTTTGCAATCATGAGATGCGAAAACATTAGCTCTTTTGGCCACAGTGTCACACTAGGAGATCAATGTTCAATCGATGATCTACCGCAAGCCCCAAATCTTTTTCAGAGTCACTGCTTCCCAGGGTATAAAGTCTCTCATCCTGTGACCTGTCGTCTTCATTATTTACCATACACCCAATTTTGGTGTCATCTCCAAACTGCATCAGTAATGATTTTGTTTTTTCTTTCAGGTCTTTGATTAAAAAACGTTAAATAGTATAGAGGCCACAAACAGATCCCTGTGAGCCTCGACTGGAAACGCACCTGCTCAGTGACAATTTCCATTTACAGTAAAATGTTGAGATTTGATCAGTTAGCCAGCATTTAATCCATTTAGTGTGTGTCATATTAACTTTATTTCCTTCAGTTTTTTAATCATAATGTTGTGCAGCACCAAGTCAAACATATTATTTGATTTTACCTTTATCAACAAAGTTTTATAATCGCATAAAAATTAGGTTAGTTTGACTGGTTCTAGTTTCCATAAACTCAAAGTAGTTTGCATCAATTACATTACCTTTCTTTCATTCTTTGTTAATTGAGTCAGGATTGATGTCAAGTGACATGCCTATAATGGCCCAGGTCATGTCGTTTACCCTTTTTAAATATCAGTACATTAGCTGTCTTCTGGTTTTCTGGAACTTCCCTTGTGTTCCAAAACTTATTGAAAATCAACACTGATGGTTCAGTAAGCTCTTCTGTCAACTCTTTTTTAAAATTCTTTCAATCAAGTTATCTGGACTTGCTGATTTAAAAATATTTATCTTTGGTACTTTCTGTTTGTATCTCTGGAGGACGTTAATGGGATGGAAATTGTTATCACCATATGGGGAGACTATATCATTTGTCCGTCCCCCCCAGATATAGAACAGAAATATTTATTGAACACATCTGCTTTTTTGCATTATCCTTGATAATTTTACTATTTTCATCTAGGAATGGTCATCTAGGAATGACACTATTGTCAGTATTCTTTATGTTGCTAATATATTATAAAAATTCCTTCTAATTGTCCTTAATTCTGCTGGCCATAGATTTATCTTTGTAGTCCTCTGCTTCTCTTATTGATTTTTCACAATTTCTAACTTTAGACAACTGAAGAATTTCTTCCCTACCAGTGCTAAAAGCCTGGGTAGTAAACAAAAGGAGCTGGAATTGCTCGGTTTTAGCATAAATTCAGTCTAATTGGAATCCGGTAGGATGAATCTCACAATGAGAATGTTGAAATCAGTGGTGGCTAACCTATTTAGGAAGGACTGAATGGGGGGAAAGGGAGGAAGAATGGCATTCTATGTCAAAATTAGCATTACTGGTTACCGAGTTACTACTGATTTTCTTCCAAGTTATCTCGAATGCATATGGATCAATGTCTTAACAGATAAAGGACAATGCATTTTAGTCAGTCTTCTGTGTACATTTGTTGTAAGGTTTCCAGTTTCTGAAATCTGAGCCATTTCCTGCCTTAGCCCAAGGGCTCACCATGCCAGCCTTCTCTGTCTAACTTCTGATTCTTTTTTATTTTCCAGTATGACTTTGAAGTGAGAGGAGATGTGATCAATGGGAGAAACCACCAAGGCCCTAGGAAAGCTAGACGATCCCAGACTGGAACGGTATAAGAAACCATTCGTAGCTGTCAGACATATCTCATTCTACATCAGCTGTCATTTCTGATGCCAGTTGAATAGCGGAAATATTTTTAAATGATCTTTTATCTTCACATGAAATCAAATGTACAGAATGGTACATAAAGGCTGTAGTTGGCTCTGTCTCTGCAGTGCTGCTCCTAGAGCTTGCCAGTCATGCAACAGAAATATTCAGATGTTTTTGCATATCAGGGTCAAAATGCATCTTTTATAATGCAGGTGTTGGCCAGCTCAAAGGAAGTGATGTGCCACAGAGTCCTCTCCTTGGGGAACTATTTGCAATCCTTCTGCTTGATTAAAAATCTGTGTTGATAGTTTCTGAAGGGGGATCCTGTCATTAGAACATAAGAACAGCCATACTGAGTCAGACCAAAAGTCTGTCTAGCTCAGTATCCTGTCTGCCAACAGGTACTCCCGAGTGATCTATCCCCGGTTGCCCTTTCCAGCTTTTGGCAGACAGAGGCTAGGGACACAATTGCTGCCTATCCTGGCTAATAGCTACTGATAGACCTATCCTCCAGTCCTTCAACAGCAAGTAGAATGAGTGAGATACAAGACATGTGTTTGCAGGCAGGGTGAATTTTAACTAAAAATATGAATAGGTGATCCTCTGGGGTTGGGGAAATGAAGGCCTGGGGGAAGGAAAAGGTACAACCAATCTACGCTAATTCTCATCTTGAAGAAATTGGCAAAGTTTCCACTGATCACCTGCTGCTTAACCTCTAAAACTTTCTCTACGCTAAACTGTGTTCCCATGATTTAAGTGCAGGGTTGTTGGGGATTTTTTAAGACAGTTATTTGTATTCTGTGTATAGGGACCTTTTGACTAAATGGCTACAGAAAACAGTTTGCAGAGCGATAGAACTGTAAAATACTAAATGTCATGCTGTCTTGCTATTGCAGTAGGAACAAAATGGGCTTGTACAAAATCAAATCTCAAAATTATAAAGGTGGTTTAGTCTTGGGTTTAGGGCTGTGCTCAAATTGCACTTCAGCTGTTACAAAAAATGCAGCAAATTTGAAATTTTCTCTCATTTATCGAATGTGGGTGTTCAGATGAAAGTCTGCACTTTATTATCATTGAGATCCTGTGCAAATAGTCTGCGACTTTAAATATTGCAGGCATAGTGCATTGCTGTTTCACACCTCATTACTTTTGCCCTCAGATGAGACCCCAGTCATCTGAGTTTGGGGAAAGCCCTGCCCTTATCTTGGGACCACATGGGTTTCCCCTCAAGCTCCTTTCTATTGACATTTCCCATTGTGGGACCACCCCTCCAGTTGGCTGGGGAAATGCCCAGTGTTCTCACAGACTGGCATTGATAATGCTCTGTGTGTCTGCCGTTAGAAAGATGGCAAAGCCATCATCTGGAAACACAGCCTGTTGTCTCCACTGGGCTAGAAAATGAGAAGCCAGAATTCTCTCTTGACTTAAGTTCTCCGACATAGGAGAGAGAAAATTCATCCCTGATTTTTTCTCCCTTTAGTTATGTGTATGTGCAATGCTCTTATCTGGAGACCTTTCTCAGCCTGCTCTCTGGTTAGTGTATTTGATAATATTCATTAAGAAACTGTAAATAGAAGAACAATCTTTAACAAGAAACCAGGCTTCATACAGTGTCCTTTTCCTATTTGTAACAAAATTGTCAAACTCCAATGTTAAACCTAAAGCCAATGCCAGCTTTCTCCATTTTTATAGCATATGGGTTGCTTTGTGGAACAAGTTCAGTGCTGGCATTTCTGGAAAGCAGCAGTAGCTAGAGAAAAAAATAAATGAAGAAAAGCAAGAAGATGTAATATGCATGTTTTGTAAAAAGAATGCACTCTTCAGTCTTTGCCAGCACATAATTGATTTTTCCCCCACTCCTATAAGAGCTAAATTAATATTTTTCACTTCTCTGGTAGCTTTCATCCCAGGTTTTCAAAGTCCCATATTTTACAGTGGACAAAGCCTTACACACTCTGTAAGTGTAGATAAAGATTAGCACCTCTTCAGCTACAGCTGAAGTGCTGTAACCCAGTGGTGGGCAACTTGCGGCCCATTGGGGTTCCATCTGCGGCCTGCACACCCTTTCTTTCCCCTCCATCCCCCATGCCTCTCTCACACTGAGGCCCCGCACTTACTTACTCCTGCCCACCCTCCCAGCACTTTCAGAGCGTGAATCAGATGATTCATGGTGCTCCGAAATTGCTGAGAGGCAGGAAAAGTTGGTATCTCCAGAAGCAAGGTGGATCTAACATCATGCTGGAGTTTTATGTCAGTACTGGCTTTGGAGGTAAGTGTGCCACATTCTGTTGTTCACAGCATTTCTGTAGCATCTTGGTTTGGTAGTTGTGTGATGCCCTTAAGATATCGGGATCAGTGCGATGTTCACGTTATGGCACTTCTAAATCTAGTGCACTTCTTGGATGTGTTTGCTTTGACTTTCTGACGATAACACTATGAGGGCTGGGTGTGGTCTGGCAACTGTTCTCTCTCCCAATTAAGAGTGGGTCATTGGAACTTGAGAAATCTTTAAGCAGCTACAGTAAGTGTTGCAGATTTTAATTGAACGATTAAGCATGTAGGTCATGGAGCAAGCATTAACTGCAAAATACAGGTTGAACCTCTCTAGTCCAGCACCCTCAGGACCTGGCCAGTTCTGAACCAGAGAATTTTCTGGACCATGGGAGGTCAATATTGTCTAACAACATTACCAACACTTCCACTGCTTACTGGGCTCTTGGAAGACATTTTGGGTTAAATTAGAGCTAAATAACAGAACACAGAGAACAACACTGAGAGCCAGGACTAGTGGCTGGAAATAAACTCTGAGACCTTGGAAAACTTGGCCACACCCACAAGTGGACATCTGGCTCATTAAAATCATGCCAATCCATGGATGTTGCAGGACCAGAGTGTGCTGGGCTAGCAAGGTTCAACCTGTACCTCTCTCCTGCAACAATAAATTATTTGCATAGGAAAGAAAAAACTTAATTCCTTGTCTGTAGGCCACTGAAGAGAGGGTGGTTGACAGGAATTTCTGTCTCTGAAACAATTTTTGAAATAATTCTAGAAGATTCCAAAAAACTTACTACAGGCATGATACATTTCTAGTGTCCATGGGCAATGCAACACAGAATGTCCGTTTTAAATGAACCATTTAGCAGTGAGGACATCCATTGAGATTCAAGCTGTAAGCATAACAAATAAAATGTCTGGGATATATTTTCTTAAATATACAGGGTGGGTAGAATACATTGGGAAGTGACTTATGCTAACAGTCACAAGAACTAACCTTTCCCAGAGTTTACCTGCATGCTGCTGTGTAGGGGAATCCACTGCTTTCATTCTTCAAACAGCTTTGAGAGAGACAGACAGACACCCTTTCCTGTCTTACAGCTAGTCCTTGCTTGGTGTCAAAACATTTGATTTGTGCACTACAAGGAGACTTTACTGCACCATAGCTGCTTCACAAAGCATAACTTGGGAATCCCAACTCTAGAGGGACCTCTTACATCATTGTAATAGAACAAACATTTCACTCAATGTCCGTTCTACCAGGGAACCACATACCCCTTGGTAACGCATGCCTTGTTTTTCAGCTCTTCAAAGACTTTGAGATCTGTTGCTATGGCCCTTTCATCGATATGCACACAGGTGAGGAACTCTGGATTAAGGGGATGTACTGTCATTTCTAGAAAATATCTGCAATGGCCATTGCAAATTCTCCAGAATTGTTGCTTTTTCTGGCTTTTCATGGCCAGAAAAATATTTTTAGCACTATTTAATCTGCAATTTACAGCATAGCAAAATGAAACATATGCTAGTTATTTTTTTCCAGATTTATCTCCTTAAGTCACATGAGACTGCTTGACTTTGGTGTTGTGTGTGGGGTTTTTTTTTAATGTTTATATATATTTTAAAAAAAAAGCTTGGAAGCAATTTTTTGTTTCAGGAGAGAGCTCCTCATATGATACGCATTCTGTCCACTGCTGATCTCAGTAGAATTCCAAGACTCTGGTGGTGGCACACCGCAAAATAAAATAAGATTTGATTTTATGGACCACGTTGGAGGCATCTCCCCAAAGCACTTGCCCTGTGACTAGAGGCCCTAACAAATACAGTGATGGCCTGAAGTGCTCCTTATGGCACAGACATGTGTACAGTAACATTACTAATTTGATGGTGTATTATTCTTTTTTTACTATAAGTCCTATAGAAATTCCTATAAGTAAACTGTGTACAAGAGAGAGAACTAGAGCCTGGAGGAGAATACTGCACACTTTAACATGATGGAAAGTAAGATCTCCAGGTTCTCTAATGCCCTCCTATTCTATTTAATACTCTTTCCGCCAGCAGCAAATGAAAGCACTAGAGGGCTGTAATAACTAGAGTACAATGCAGCAGCGATGGGGTCAGAGCAGTAATACAAGAGTCTTGACAGATCTGGCACTTAAGTATTTTTTTTTAACTGAATGTGACAGGTCTCAGTCCTCTAAACCAGGGGCAGGGAATCTTTTTTGGGTCAGTGGGACCTCTGACCCACAGAAAAATCAGATAGGGGCCGCACACAAGTGAGAAGCAAAGGAACAAAGCCACACTGATGTGGCCCCTTCTCCCCAACTGAGAAGGAGAAAGACCCTCCCCGCATTCCCCTCGCACACCAAAGCCTAAGAGGACCCAGGCTAGTTGATTTTGTGTGCTCCAGCCCCACAGTGGGGTGATGGAGAGCTGGAATTCCTGTGTGGGCTCTCCCATGCTGGGGGTGTACCCTGAGCATCAGGGGCTGGATCCAGGCAAGCCGGGGACTGCGATTCCTCACCCCTACTCTCAACTATCAGAAATATCAAAACTAGATTGTGTCCCCCTCAAACTGGGCTATACGTTACACGGCGTGTAGCTCCTCTGAAATAAATATTACTTGTGGGGTCAGGTGCGTGAGCCCAGTCAGAGATGGAAAGAATCTAGTCTCTACTGGTCCCATTGGCCCAGGTGTCTACAGCAGACTGTTCAAGTCTTATTGCTATTCAGTATGTGATTTTTAGAAGAAACTGCTTGCTCATGAAATTTGGCATTTTGGGCTCTGCTCCCTGATTGTCTAAAGATTTTGCACAATGTCTCTAGGGTTGCCAGGTGTCCAGTTTTTGACTAGAACATCTGATCAGAAAGGGATCTTGGTGGCTCCAGTTAGCACTGCTGACCAGGCTGTTAAAGGCTAGTTGCTGCGGGGCTGGCAGGCTCCCTACCCGGCTCCTGACAGTTCCTTGGGAAGTGATTGGCATGTCCCTCTGGCTCCTAGGCATAAGGGTGGTCACGGAGGCTCCACATTCTACCCCTGCCCCAGGTGCCAGTTCCACAGCTCCCATTGGCTGGGAACCGCAGCCAATGAAAGCTGTGAGGGCAGTTCCTGTGTGCAGGGAGCACCATGCAGAACCCCCTTGACTCCCTAGGTCTAGGAGCCAGAAGAACGTGCTGGCTGCTTTCCAGAAGTTGCCTGAAGTTAGTGCCTCCTCAAGTCTGCAGTCCATACCCCTTCCTGCACTTCTACCCCAGCCATGTGCCCCCTTCTGCACACTGAACCCCTCAGCCCCAGCACAGATCCCCCTTGTATCCCAAACCCCTCATCCCCAGAGCCCTCACCCCGTTGCGCACTCCCAACTCTCTGCCTCAACCTGGGAAAGTGAGCAAGGGTATGGGAGAGCGAGCGAGCGAGTGATGGAGGGAGGAGGTGGAACCTCAGGAAAGGGGTGGGGTAGAGGCAGGCCAAGGGCGTTCAGTCTTCTGCAGTTGGAAGGTTGGCAGCCCTAAATGTCTCCCATTCCCTTCAACGTCTGCCTTTGCCACATAGGCTTAGTCTACACTGCAGGGTTTTTGCGCAAGAAACCTTATGTAGAAGAGATCTTCTGCAAAAACTTCTTGCGCTAAAGCCGTCCAGCCCTCAAAGCGCATCGCTTCGAACATCCACACTGCATGGACACTCTTGCACAAGAAAGCTCTGAGAGCCATTCACACAATGACCATCAGAGAGCCTGCGCTTTTGGGGATGGGGGTTTCTTTCACAAAAACCCCTCTGGAGCGTCCACACCTGCCTTTTTGCGCAAGAGCTGTAGCGCAAAAAGGAGATATTGCTTGTGGAGAGAGGAATAACTCTATTGGCAGAAGCCCTCTGTTCTGCCGATTTACTTGTGCAAAAACACACTTGGGGTGTGGATGCTCGACCAGTTTTTGCACAAAAACCTAGTAGTGTAGACATAGCCATAGTGTTTTCAGAAGTAATCCTTCCATTCAGAGTCTGAGTTTCCTGTTCACTTAAAGACACCCAGATGTCTCTTTCTTTGGAAAAAGTTTATGTGCAAATCTTCAATAGTTAGAAGTTCTTTGAGTGCTTTTCTGAGACTGAGACAGCTGCTGTGCTGTTTTATCTTTTTCTAATCTTACAAAAGAGCAGTTGTAACAAGTAAAACACAGATTAAAGTCTGCAGTAATGGATATAGGTAACATAGGTGGAAGGGATTGCAGATTTGTCATTACCTTAAAGCTTCAGGTTTGTGGAGTCTCTTATGAAGACAATTAAGCAGCAAATTTCCGGCTAGACTTTTCAGTAGTAGAAGCACATACCTTCCCCCATCTTTGCTCTTCATTCTCTTCCCTGCAACAAGCTCTGATTTGTCCAATATCGCATTTATTTCTGACTGGATGAATTATCCCCACATCTCTTGACATTTACAGTAATTACCACCGTGTGTGTAGTGCTCACTCCTAATGCTGTGATGAGCAATTACAGGCTCCTCCACTTAGGAAATTTTGTTATGTTCCCCCTCCCCCCACCTAGAGTTCAGCAAATTAATGGGAATTAAACACTCTGGCTAGTTTGTGTTAATGAGACGTTATCACAGATCTCTAACATTTGATTCCAGTTGTGATTCCAGGCATTAGCTCTTTGAGATGAACTGACTGGCAGTGTGTTTCTGGGGGCTGTCTGTTTTCTATCTGGATCCCTCACTCCCTGAGGCCTAGGATAGGTCTATAGTAATAAGTAAGAGCAAGACTCTCTGTTTTCTGCGTATGCCACAAACGTTTAGAGGATACAATTATTTCACTTGTAACAACCCCACTAGCGAGGGGTGGAGAACCAGGGCTGGGTCTCTGACTTGTTGGTCTCAGGGCCGTGCGGAGCATAACAGTAACGTGCTACTTTGTCTGACTCATTCAGGTGATTTAGAGTGGATGGTGGAGCTCGGTGGCGCCTCTGTGGTGAAGCAGCCTCACCTGTTCACACACACAGCAGTAAGTATTCAGTGTTGACGCATCTAAGGTGAACGGTCCCATTGAGTTTTATCCCCATAAATACTTAGTGATTTTGCTGCTTGTAAACGACTGATGTATCCAGCTATAAATAGAGGAAGGTTTGGCTCCCACTTCTGTGACGATGTTGCTGAACCTTGAGGATGATTGATCGTGGAAGCTCTGTTGACCCTCCCCGATTGCAGTGCCAGTAGGGCCAAGAGACATGCTGGTCTTGCTGTTTTGAGGTTCACAGCGCACTGTCATCTCCTTTGAAGCCAGAGGTGAGCCCAGCTTTCTGTCGCTTAAAGGCTCTGGTGCAGTAACTTATAGTCACCAAGTCTCCCTGAACAGCAGCTCTTGTAGCATATTCTGACAAAACTTAAGCTGTTTTATTTTTCCTCCTCTTGATTCACTCACTGGAGCAATGCAGCGAGGCAAAGAATTCACAGTTATTGCTATCTGTGAGCAGACAGGAAGGATTGATTTTATGTGATACAAATAATGGTAGCTATTTTTATCTTGTTTCTTATCTTGAAATCCTAGAACTCGACTGCTGTAGTAGTTGTACAGCCTGATGCTTGGCATGAAAACGCAGGGTACAGAGGTAAGATTGCGTGGAGCTCTGCATTGCTTTGTACGTGGCGAGTGATTCCACTGGTTTGGGTAAAAAAATAGTAGTAAGGTTCTCTAAAACAGCGGTTCCCAACCGTTTGTATACTGGGGACTGGCAAACACGTTCTCAACTTTTGGCAGAGCAGCAGTATTTTATTTGTGTATTCATTATGCACATGGAAAATATGCAAATAAACCATTTCCTGTTCGCCAATATGTGCCCCCCGCTCCCTCATACACTCCAACCCTGATGTGCCCCCCCCCCATTATTTTATTCAGCCCCAGCAGCCAGAGCAGCAACCCACTGGGGGGAGCAGGTTCCAGCCCCCCTGCCAGAGCAGGCCTTCCCCCATCCTGACACACAACAAGCCACAGCCCCCACCCTCTCATTGGAGCCGGCCTCGGCCTCCCCCTCCACGCAGCCGCAGCAGGTCAGCCCCCCAGCACGTCACCACTGAAAGGCCCTGCCCCCCCTCCAGAGCAGACCCTCCCCCCTGCCAGAGCAGTCCCTGGCCACGCATCATTCGGCTGCTACAGGTCCTGGTCCCCTGCCAGAAAAGGCCCCAGCCATCCACCACGCAGCCTCCCTTCCCCAGCACCGCAGCCGTTCTCCACATAACTGCGCTAGCTGGGCCTCATAGTGGCTGCCGGAGCTGGAACCAGGGCCACCGTGAAGTTGCCCCAGTAGGAACAGCCTCACCACGACCCCAGCGCCATTCCTGCCCACAGAGCGGTGGAAAGGAATTCACTTATGGGGAACCCCAGCGGGGGCGGGGAGCACTAGGCAATGTGCCACAGCCCGGCAGGCAGGAGCTTGCGACCCATGATTGGGAACCGCTGCTCTAAACGAAGCAGAACAAATTCCTGTTATGTTGCAGCAGGCTGGGCCTAGCCAGAACAGTCTGCAGTGCGATAGGACTGTCTGTCGGGGCCGCAGCAGCCCCACCCATGGAAGGCTGGGCTGGAGGAGCCCTCTGCCTGCAGCAGACTGGCCAGTGGGGCTCCAGCCATGGCAGCCTCTGCCTGGAGCAGCCCCCACCGTGCCTGGCAGGGGGGATCCCTGCCTCACTGAGGCAGCAGGGCTGCAGCCCTGGCAGGACCTCCGCCCCAGCTCTGGCCAACAGTTAACCAGTTAAAGGATCTAATGTTAATCGTTTTTAACTGGTTAACTGTTTCAATGGGTATTTACATCCCTGCTTGAGAGTAAAGAAAGTCCTGGGAGGGGTTTGCCCAGTAGGAAGGCAATGATGAGATGGGGATGTCACCTAAAATAAACTGCCAGCCCATGGGTCCTGCATGTCTCCAGAGTCAAGTTGAACTGAAATGTATCCCTGGCAGCCAAGCTGCTTTTTAAAACATAAGAACGGCCGTACTGGGTCAGACCAAAGGTCCATCTAGGCCTGTAGCCTGTCTGCCCACAGTGGCCAGCACCAGGTGCCCCAGAGAGGGTGAACCGAAACAATGATCAAGCAACTCTTCTCCTGCCATCCCTCTCCAGCCTTTGACGAACAGAGGCCAGGGACACCATTTCTATCCCCTGGCTAATAGCCTTTTATGGACCTAACCTCCATGAAATTATCTGCATTCAGTCTTCTAGGCAGTGGTTGGGACAAAGGGATCCCTTCATTCCTCTCTCTCCTACTTCACCTACACTGAAAAATGGATGGAATCTGAGAGCTTTTTAATGCTACAGAAACCCTTTTGTACCACCCTCTCCTCTGAGTGTGTCTTCTCATGTCCTAGAAACATGACCTGCACACTGAATGTGTGCGTGCGTGGAGCAACCGAGAGCCAGTGGTTTGGAACTGCTTTTGCAAAGACTGCTAAGCCCTCGTCCCTCCGTTCGTGTCTCTTGCACGGCAGTTTAAAGCGTTCCGGTGTAGATGCTGGCGGCTTGTCGAGGCTGTGAGCCAGCTACATTTTATGCAATGTCAGGACGTGGAGAGCAGTAACCAACCATGTTGCTGGTTTGGAATGAGATTTTTGAAGACTGTTAAGGAAAATAATGCTGAGCGAGAACAGCTGGCAGTCTGAATCCCGCACTGACCCCCAGAGATTATTCTCTCATTCCTGGTTTGTTTTGCAGCAATCCAACAGGAGTGTGATGCTACCGTGGTGACCCGAGAGTGGGTGCTAGACAGCGTGGCCTGCTACGAGTGCCAGGAGCTTGGGACCTACCTTGTGTCCCAGTCATGATGGTGCTGCTGCTCTTCCCTTCCCATTGCTCAGACGTCCTCACCCGTGCAGATGCTTCAGGATCGGTTTTACGAGCCAGGGATTTTTAGAACATCTTCTACATCCTGTGCCTTGTAAGAAGCACTGTTGTTTCCAGACAAATTATCCAAAGACTTGCACCAGCCCAGAAAATATGTAATTCTGTCTTTGCACCGTAAAAGTTGCTTTAACTACTGCTCTTTAAAGACTAGGCTGTAAAACTTTTTGCCCAAAGCAGCCTTTTAAAATGTATCTAAAACGAGTCAAACAAATGTCTCTTAACTGGGATTTAAAGTCAGACCTCCAAAGTGAAATGCCAATGCATTATTTACCATCCCATCCGGTTCCTGCCTATTTACTCCAGCATGTTTTGGAGACATAACCATTTACAGGAGTTATATGGCGCTTGGGGCTTGAATTAACTCAGTGGTGCAAGTGCCATTTATCTCCCTGGTTCTGGTTTGTATAAATACCTACTGTATGTAGAGAGATGCTTATATCAACACATGGAAATACAGTCGTTTTGGGGTCAATGGTACATCAACTCACATTCTAGACTATAGAAACAGCTGATCTGAAAATAGCACAGACAGCTGTTTTGTTGTTAGTTGGCACTTAACACATAATTCCTCTATCCTAAAGAGTCCTCGATAAGAAAGATCTTAAAAGAAGAAGCCAATGAGCTAACAGTCACTGACACGTTAAACCCCATCAGTGTCAATTTTAGTTCTTTTGTAGCATCCCAATGTAGCACTGAACAAGATGCATTTTCACATCCCTTCTACCTATAATAAGCCCTAAAAACACTTTGATCCTAATACTTTATGCCTGCAAAATGAGAGACCACAAGGAAAAAGAACATACTGCTTTTTGCCTGTTGCCAAGGAAGCCACCTCATAAATAATGTACTTTCCGAGCAGAAAGAGAAACTGTTTTCACAAAGTTGTATTTTTAAAAAAATTGTTTATAGTACAGTTCAAAGAATTGTTTGATACAATGACCTGCCGTCGGCTGGTCTCCACTATTTGTATAAAGTATATTTGTAAATGTTAGAATACGCAAAGCAAATAAATGTAACTGGCAAGTATTTGTCTTAGTTGTGGAGTGCTCTGGGTGTGAATCAATCACTCAACCTTGGCACTGAGACACAGATGGAAATATTTCCAAAGTTTAATCTCCTGGTGATGGGGGAAGGTGGAGGAGGTGGCCAACTGGAAGAGATTTCATAATTGTAAATGGGAAGTTCAGAGCTGGAGACACGATGTAGGTTCCATCAAAATGAGAAGCAGATGTGTTATAAAGCGTCGAACACAGGCAAATGTACGGTAGCTAGGGCTTGCTATGAGTAAGACGAGTCCTGGGAGCATTTGTCTGTCAGCTGATATTGCAGTTTAGCCTTTTATTTTTATTTTTCAAGCTCGTATGACAGTATTTTATAATTGTCCCAGCTGCTCAGCACAGCCTCACCTTCAGGCTGACATCCCTCTTATCTCTGGAGTCCACATTGGCTTTTTTATCTACCTTTCAAAAGATTGCAGCTACTAGGGGTCAATGTTGCCTGTTAGATGAGAGGGAAAGGCCAAGCCCCTCTTGCAGTGGCCACTGTGAAATTGTTCCTCTGATCCGGACACAAGAGCTGTCTTTTCTAGTAGGCAACGTAATAGTTCTGCTAGATTATTGTCAATAGGTACAACACGTGTGTGGTGCTTCACTCCTCCTGCTGGGAAAAGCGGCTTTACGGGTGACCAGGTCTCTGGAGGCTGTTTCTAAGCAGTATGATGCGCACATTTTGTGTAGTAATGTGCATCTGAGTTAAGCTTTGAGTGAAAAGCTCAATTATTTTGAGAACCCAGTTGAGGATTTGTTAATTCCCCCCTTTCCATAACATTTAATTAAATCTGCAGCTTGCTCTTCCTCCCTGAGGTCTGTTGGCTAGTTTGGGACGCTTAGAACTTCATGGTCCCCAGATCACTTTCTCTTTCCTCCTCATCCAGTTTGCCATTTAAAAAAAAATGAGCAGCTTTGGATCATCCTGGTAGCTGAGACCAGGTGCGAGTTCCCCCACTTCAGGTCAGGAAGGGCTGGGAGTCCTGCCAGGGCAGCCTCTGAACATGGGGAGCCTCACATCGCATAGTGATGACCCTCCCTCCAGCCCAAGGGCAAACAGCATTGAGTTTGGACCTGCTCCCAGGTTGTGAGTGTGAGCCTCACACTCAGAGAAGGACCCGAAGAGCCTGCAGAGCAAAAATAACTAGCGTCACCCAATTTAAAGTCTGGTTAAATTATATGGTTTCAATTAATTACAGTCATCACCTTGTTCCCCAGACTGAGGGGCTCTTAGCATAGATTCAGATTTCCTGTTGCATTGGCATATTTCATGGTATCTCTGGCTTGAGACTTTTCTGCTATTTGTGAAAAGGCTGCTTTCTGGCCAGGCGTCTTAGCATATAGGTGTGTAAATGACGAACTGATAAGCCTGGGCTTATTGGTTAATCCTAACGACCAGGGCTCAACAAATCGCTGTTTCGGGCGAGTAGATTTCAGCCGGTCACTCCATTCGCCCCATTCACCAGTGCTGGTCTGGTGCATGCGTGGTGTGGAGCTGGCAAGTAGATCTCGCCACGGTTTGTCGAGCCCTGCTAATGACCACATGCACTCCCTGGCCTTGCTGCCTCTGTATCATAGGCAGCAGCTGGGGGAGGAGGGAGTCCGTGAGGAGCTGGGTTTTAAGCCGGCTCCCCACAAGCTCGGGATCCTGCAGTGCTGCCTCGCCTCCCCCCACACCTCTGTGCTGCCGCCTCTGATAGAGAGGCAGCAGCTGTGGAATGTGAGGGGGGCAGGCAGGAACCGGTACACGCAGGGAGTTGGCTTTCAAGCCAGCTCCCTGCATGTGCTGGCTCCACAGAGCTGCCTACCCTAGGGCTGTTAAATTTAGTTTAATCAACGGAATTTCCATCGATTAGTCGATACGCGGGGAAGCTGCACGGGGGTTAGCTCTCAGCCCTGGGCGCGAACCTCGCTGCAGTTCTGCCTGTTAAATGTATTGAGCCTACCGGCGGTGGTAGACCGTGCTCCAATAGAGGCAGCAGAGGGGAAGGGACTGGTCAAAGGACCAGTTGACTGATAAACTTATGCTTATCGGATAGTAGACTGATTGCTTACATCCCTAGCCTGCCTCCCCTCTCTTTGCTGTCTCCCACAGAGGCAGTGGGGGAGCAGCGGGCAGGAGCCAGTGCTTGCTTAAAACCCAGCTCCCCACAAGCACTGGGTTTGTGGAGATGTCCCCCTTCCCCCCATGCTGCTATCTCTGTATCAGAGACAGCAGTGTGTGTGTGTGTGTGGGGGGGGGGGGGGCCGGTTTGCTGCCGTAGCCTCAGTCCACAGGGATCTCAGGCTCTATGCAGACAGGTGTAGCAGGGGCCCCCTGGAAGTGGGGCTGGGAGCATACTAGCTGCTGGCTCTGCCTCTAGGGACTGTCACATAATCATGTAACTGATAGGATTGTGTGTGGTGACACGATTAAACGATAGCTAACGTCCCTCATTCTGGCACAAGGCAATTGCTTAATGACCGAAACCGAGCTCCAGAACATAAGTCAGTTCTGCAGCTATACGACAGGCACCTGTCAGCCTGGAGCAGCGTGCAGCAGCTGAAAGCAGAACGGGCAGTGTCATCAGGACAGTCTGAGGTGAACCACTCCTAGGAATGAGGAGTGTGCGCCCTATTTGGTATCCTGTGGGGACGCATGTGCAACAGGTGAACCCCACAAAGATGCTTGAACTATCTCAGCTCCTCAGGGTTAGACACGGAACAAGATTATGGATGAGCATGAAGCTCCAGAGAAGCGTTTCCCTCTCCATGCTCCTGGATTTCTGGGGCTGTGCTTTGCCAGTGATTTATCGTGTGGTGTTATTGGGAGAAGTATTGTTGAAATGGTGTGATGTGGATTTCTGTTTGACCACAGCAGGGCCAGGGTGTATTCAGATCTCTTAACTAATCCCACCGACAGCAATCGGCACTCACTAGCTTGCATGGCATTGAATTGATTCAGAACTAACAAGCTTCCCTAGGATTCGAGCAGCAGGTATACATTTAACTAGCCCTCACATTTTACTCTCCGGCATGGAGAGGGCTGCTAATGGCTGTGTAAAGGTAGAACTTGCCCTTAGGTTCAAGTGTATCCAGTGATGGAGAAATTGGAAGATTCTTGAGAAGTAGCAGACTTAATTTAGCTGTCTCCCACCAGCAGAAAGGTCAAGCCAAGAAAGTTCCTTGAGAAGCAGCCATTGGCTGTAACTACCACTGCTAAAAGCAAATGCTGAAGGGAAGAGATACTCATCAAGGAATTAAATAATTTATAACCCCTGTAGTAGGGCATATGCCTGGTATAGGTCTGAAAATATAATTACAAAAATTCCTGAAGAAGCACCTAATCGGAGTAGATGAAAAAAATCTCTCAATAGCACCTACCCCGTGAGCGTATGTTGGGTTCCCCATGTCAGTCTGCACGGCAGGAAATGTGAGTTTTCATCCTGTGCCCCATCGGAGGACTGCCCAGTCAGGTGTTAGGAGGCCTCTCTCTAGTCCCTGCTTTCTGGCCAGGGGTTCAAAGTTTGCAAAGCTCCTTGCCTTTTACTCTGCTAATCCCAGCAAGCCAGATTGTCTAAAGGCCGGCACATGTGGTTTGCACTCCCAAAGCTAAAACGGAGGTATTGCTAGCAGTTATGAGTTAGCACACAGCTCTTGTTCTTAAGGTAACAGTATTACAGAGACACAGATTTAAGTGCACATGAAACAGAGCACAAATCTGTGGGTGCCCTTCTGAAAAAGTGGGGGACCCCTTGGACACAGTGCTATCCACTTGCTGGATCAGAAAGAAGGCTTTTTAATGCCAAAAGCCTCTTTGCTGTCTGGTCTCTGCAAAATGCAGTTTGGACTGGTATATGCCAGCATCCTGGGGGGAGGGGAAGTAGAGGGGAACCTCTGGAGGAGTTTGCAATCTAATGGATTTTAGTTCCTTCCCGGCTGAAGTTGCAGATAGCCCCAAGCACACACTGATGCACAGCTATACAGCCTGGTCCACAAAGACAGGGCATGGAGTTGCAATATCTGCCACATCCCCTGCACCCATCTCCTCCCCAGAGTGCGCTAATCATGCCTCCTGCCATTACAGAAAGGCAACATGCAACAAACGGTCACATACAGGGGTGCCACATAAAGTGAGACACAATGCAAAATGCGGGCAGGGAACTGAAGGGATCCAAGTGATTCATTATAGTCTCAGCTGCCGTGCATTAGCACATACCTTTGCAGGTGTTTCCAATTTGCTGGCTAGGCCCAAGTCAGTCGGTCCGTGGGGTTAGAGGAGAACACCATGCAGCTAACAGTTCAAGCTGTTCCTTTTATGAAGCAGATGTGGTTTGAGATTTTTGCCTGTTGGAGAAAGTGAAGGAGGCCGCAGTGGAAAAGCAGATTCCACCAGCGAGGTGTAAGGAAAGTGATTCTGGCAGGCTTTACAAGGTAATGCTCATGAAGAAGGCTGTTTAGGAGGACCTGAGGAATTGCCTGTGGCCCTGAATGTAGAGTTTACAGGGAGCCAGTATGAACACAGCAAAGCCAAGCACTTGCCTCTTTGGAAGAGAACATCTCTGAGTGTGCAGAAATGGGGAAGACAGGCTACATCTACACTGGCAGCTTCTTGTGCAAGAACTCTTGTGTGGAAGAGTTCTTGTGCAAAACGTTTTCCAGAAGAGAGCATCTACACTGGCATGTGCTTTTGCACAAGAGATGTGCTTTTGTGCAGGAACATCCATGCCAGTGTAGACGCTCTCTTCCGCAAGAAAGCTCTGATGGCCATTTTAACCATAGGGGCTTCTTGTGCAAAAAATTCATGTTGCCTGTCTATGCTGGCCTCTTCTGGAAGCGTCCGAGTTCTCACGCAAGAAGCCCTGATTTTCTACAGTACAAAGTCAGTTTACTTGCGCAAGAACGCACGGCCAGTGTAGACAGGCGGCATGTTTTTGCGCAAGAGCCACTGTTTTCGCGCAAGAACGTGCCAGTTTAGACACAGCCTAAGAGCCACAATTT